ACTATTCTAGCCCTAATGATAGTATTTTGTAGATAGAAGGAGTTTAGCTTAAGGGTAACACTATGCAGATCCTTGTAGGCCTAGGAGAGGAAAAGGCACATAGCCATGAATGGGGCACATTACTAAAGGAGACTGGGGCTCCCTAATGCCCTAAAATTATATGCTAATGTCTTCAGGAATTTGGCTAGGAATTTAAATCCATTCATTCCCAGAACAATCACTTGAGAACAATGAGAGAAGGTTCTGCTTCCTGAGAAAATCAAAACTTCTGAATGTCCAAGAAGCGCTATGGTAACATGGGATAGGATGAGTATGCCTTCTACTTGCTTCGAAAGGGGAACTATCCCCATCGATAATATCCATAAAACCAAACAGCTGTTTAGTAAGACATGCCACCACTTATCTCTTCCTACCAGTCATTCAAGTCTGATATTTGTTTTTGAGACTTTACTCACAGTTGTGGGATTAATTAGGAAAATAAGTTGGATGGTAAAGGAGGCAAATAATACCACCCAATGTAAGCCCAGGTTTAGTGCAGCAGCCCTAAGCCAGTTTAACAAGGCAAAATTCCCCAACTAGTGAAAAACTGGGTTCAATTCAACAAAACAAATTCAAGAAACCTCTGGTTGCCTCAATCATCCAGCAAAAATTGCCTCTGAGCAGTTATGTCAGCTTCTCTAATCATCCATGAAATAAAACCTGTAACAGTAGCATTTATCTTAGAGATGTTACAAATGAGCTATTTCTCGGGTTACACCTTGCCACAGAGTCTTCACAGCAGTTCCATTGCCTTTTCACAGCAGTTCCTTAGTCTCTTTCACCTCACCACTGTCATCGTTGGGGTACCTTACATTATGGAAACCTCTCTCTCTCTTATATTGATCCCACAATTGTAGATGAGTCACAAGTCCATGTGTCCACAGTTAAGGTAGCAGGAGATCATGCCCCTAATGGGGGTTAACACAATAGCTAGAAAAAAACAGTTTAAGGGTTGATACCCCAAAACACCAAAATGGGAGAGGAGTATGAATATACAGTTATTGTCAGCAAAGCTAATGTGCTTTCTGTTTGAACTCATGGAACAATAAATTCAAGAGAATAAGAAGACAATACTACTAGTAATCGTATCAATGGAACTACTACTACTTCTTATTGGTCTTTGCTCAGGTATAGCATATAATTTTTCTACACGGGGCTCTAGCCTTCCTCAGCTTATTTTCAACAAATAGTTTTTTATAACTATTTAGTGTGGAAAGAGGAAACCTTTATGACTGAAAGGCTTCACTCTTAGTTTAGATTTGGCAGGAGCCCAATGTCATATCTTATCCCCAATTAGTCACTAGGAAAATAGTGCCTTGGTGAGCTCCAATATGTTTAGTTGTTTCTTGGCATGTCTCATCAGCCTGAATCAGGGAAGGATAATCTGGATCTTTAAAATGGTGTCCATATAAATTACTCAGATACAAAAACAGATTCTGATAAGCCTCTTCTTTTAGATGCATCCTCTTTTTCCATAGCAGATAAAACCTCAGTAAAATGGAAACATCTGGCTGAGGCTCAGGTTAAAGTGTCCTGGGGAAGTGAATCTGCTCAAGTGCTATGTACTATGATACAATAGCACAAAAATCAGAAAGATAAACAGAAGAGGGACTAAGCTCTGGAAAGAAGAGAGAAAAGTGGTAAGTAAATAAAGGAAAAACAACTTTTACAAGTGGGGAAAATAAAAAGGAGAAATTTATGAAACTGAAAGAAAGTGGAAATATAGAATGAAAAGAGGAAACATAAAAGAGAAAGGTAAAGGGAGAAGGTAAGTGAAGAAAAAGTGTGTGTGTGGGGAAGTACCAGAGAAAGTGTAAAGCTTGGTGACCAAATTAGAAAATGAGAAAGGCATTAATAGGACATAAAGGAAAGCCTATGAGGCATAAGACAATCTATTATTTAAACATGTCATTTAAATAAGAAGCACTCTTAAAATTTTAAATGAACAGGTTGTCTAGGCATCAACCAGTACAGGATTAATATGAGCCCTAGAATGAAAACACCTACCATTGGGAAGATTTCTTCTTCATATATGTACGGACTGTCCTCCATCCCTAATTAGCCTGTTCAGACATTAATGTCCTTCCCAAATTTTAGACCTGCCCACATGTCCCATTTCAAATATGAAACTGATAGTTACCCAGGTTGTCGTTAAGTGCTGTTGAGTCGCAGGCGACTCAACTCATAGCAACCCTATGAAGGAGAGTCCTCAATGCTTGGGTGTCTCTCATCCTCTCTCCAGGTTCATAGGGTTTCCGGAGGCAAGCTACTATGGAAGTGGATGCCACTCCTGCTTCTGAGCTTGTTTTAATTGGGGAGCTCCACCCCACTATCTGTCTGCATTGGGTTACCCAGGTAGATCTCCTTGATGATATTTCTTATAGCAGCAGTATTAGGACTGATGATTTAGGAAAGCTCCCAAAAATTGAGGCCAACATGTTTTCCCTAAAAAAGTTCTTCCGGCACAAATTGTAACTTTCTGAGACAGAAAATTTTGTATTTTTGGCTCTTCATAGCCCTAACATGACTTTAAACATGTTCACCAGAAAATTTTGCTGCTTCCAGGAATGGAAGACTCATATTCTCTGGAAAATACGTGCTACTAGAGAACAGACACTTAGCTACCAGCATCCAATAGCGGGTTTCTCCAAAGAATTTAGGGATTGTTGTGATTGGTTAAAGGCCCAGCACCTTTTATCCAATGGAGAACATTTCTGAACTTCCCAAAGGATCAGCTTAGATGTCCCACTGAACTTTGCTCCAACTCAATATTTCCCTCTATCCAGCATTGAACCCAACCAAGTCTTTCTATGTGGGTTGATCCTAGAAACATTCTCTAGTAAATTTCTCTGTGTCAATAACCTTATAAGATGTTTCTTATAGATTTACGCTGCAACACCAAGCAAAGCAAAACAAAACAAAACCCACTTGTGAAATTTATTTTTCAGTATGACTTTTCCTATCCATTGTTTGACTTCGCTATGGTGATGGATGGGAATATATGAACAGGGTATGTTAGCCAATCCACAAGGTAACTGGCTATCTGCTATTCCATGAGGAGATTGGCTGATCTTAACAATCTACAAAGGAATTGGCTAGTCTCACCAATGAATTGAGCAAGTCAGCAGCAAGAGACCAATATACCCTCTGGCCTTACTGAAGAAGAAGCAAGAAAATGTAGGGTTCTTTTCTTGTTCCAGCTACACCTATGACAGCAAGGCCTATGGCAGTAACACATATAGCCACAACGGAGACCTGACATGAGAAGAGATCTTCATGAAGTCGAAAGCCAATATTGGCAGGACTGAGAACTTTGTTGCACAACTGGGAGTGGGAAGCCAATATTGCAGGACTGAGAACTTGGAAACATTGGCCTAAAGCCATGAGGCTCAATGCTGATATGCCTTTGTGCACATTTTGGGAGCTGTCTTGACTGTATCCTGTTATAAATCTAGATTATAAACTTTTTACTTCCCCAGTATGGTCTTATGTAGTCTGTGAGCTATTTCATTGGATTTTATACCAAGCAAAGCAGTAAAATTAGTGTTGAGATGATCAAGAAGAGGTATGGGGGCATGGGGGACATTTCTGACCTCATGGGCAATAGTTTTGTGTTATCAATGCTGTGGACAGACACAGTTCCCCTTTGTGAAGTCAGTCAAAAAGAGAGGTACCTGTTCTGACTTGGCTCTTGCTCTTTTTACACTACTCTAGATCCTTTAGAACATGAACCCTTATGAATCAATAATATGCCTACTGCACATACTCACATACATATTTGCATATTTCCTGATATTCAAAGATAAACCTATAAATTTCTCACTAATCAGCAATAAACAATGAAATGAGGGACCTTTATCCATATCTCTATTCAAATTCTACCTTTTCAGAGGCTTTTCTTGATCACATACCTTTTCCTCCCATGAACAGATGTTGCTCTATTTTCTCACTCTTACCAACATCTGATAAGTTGTATATTCTCTTTTATGATCTGTCTTATGAGGATGTGAGATCATAAGGAATATCACTATTTTGTTTATTGCTAAATCTCTAGTGCCTAAAAAAGTGTCTGTAGTATTATTATAAATATTCAAGAAGTATCCACAGATGATTAGATAAATTTAACTTTACTCCCAAATAAAAATTTGTTTAAAGATTAATATCATTTGATCATAAATTTTAAAAGTTTTAGGGAGCTCTGGTGGCCTAGTGGCAAGAAGCTGCACTGCAATACCAGAGGAACATGGTTCAAATCCACCAGATGCTGTGCTGGGGAAGGAGGGGCAATCTCCTTCTGTACCAGTCAGATCTAATTTGATGGTACACACACAAAAAATAATAATAAAATGAAATAAAATAACCTTAAAGTTTTAGATTTCAAAAAGCCTAAACAATTAAACATTAAAGCTAAAAACAATATTTAGTTCGGTCTATGTAATATTTTGCACACACTAAGTTTTATTTATTTTCTAAGAAAAAATAAAGCTTAGTAACAAGAATATCACCATAACAACTAATGAAATAGCAAACAGATACATGGCAATGCTGAAGAGACATAGGCTTGGAAAATTTCCCTTTTGGCATATAACTATTCAGAGCTTTATGCCTTGCTATATACTTGTGTTTTCTTACTCCTAAAATAACTACTTGGAAATATCATTAAAGCTACTAATTCTACCATCAAACTAGACATTTAATCTACAGCTTGACTATTTAACCAAGAAACAATCAAGGGTAATTTTCCAGAAATTGGAGAGATCCCCAGGTTGATCCTGCAACTTAGAGAATATACCTGTGGTGCTGAGAAGAACTATCTTTCTGCAGAACTTAAGTACACAATTAATAGGCTACCAGAAATGTATGATACTTTGCACATGGTTAAAAAGGCCATAATGTCCTTACCATAACCAACCAGGCTCACATTTCATCTCATGACTCAGAGACCAAACAGATTCTCTTACCTTTGGGAGAGATGTGTCTCCAGGTAACTGTAGGCTCTGGTCTACCTGTTGCTATGCAGGTGAGGCTGATGTTATTTCCTTCATTAATGGAGATATCTGAAGAAATCTCTACAATTTTGGGAGATACTGTGGAGACAAAACAGGAAGGTGAAAAATCTAGCGAAATATTTATCATCTATCTATCTATCTATCATCTATCTATCTATCTATCTATCTATCTATCTATCTATCTATCTATCTATCTATCATCTATCTAAGTTTGCAGTTGGCAGAATAAGACAACCCAGAAACTGAAATACATTGACTACAGGAACAAATGACAGGGAGTCACTAGAACACAAGGAGTTAGAAAAAAATTAGAGTAGTTCCCAAAACATGAAAGCAGTATCTTACCTTGAATTTAGCTTTATTTCTGTCTACTTAAATACAAAATCAGGGAATCTGAAGAGAATGAATCTCAGTACAATGTTGCAGTAACTATTCTCTTTACTTCAATTTGTTTTCTGTCTTTGTCCGCTACCTGCCTCAGAACACATCTACAAGTCACCACCACACTATACTAGAATTTTCTTTATATAATGCAGTTATGATCATCACATCTCTCCTTAAACACCTCCAATTGTTCTCTACTAATTACCTGAATAATCCAAGTTTCTTTTTCTAATACACTAGGGATTTCAGAACCAAGCATCAACCTACATTTCCACTGACACTCACAGTTATCCCACTTCCATCTAACTCTTTATTTCCCAGTATATTAAATAATTTCTCATCATCATTTAAATATATATTCTTCTAGTGTTCTTCCTTCACAACCTGAAGTTAGTTACAGCTGTTGGAGAACAGAAAGTAATGCCAGCTATTTCATACTTGATTATTGTTTTACTCTTTAGTTACTGTTCCAAAAAAGAGGAGTTTATTCTAACTCATGAATTTGGGAATAAGAACCCTTTATAAAGCTGCTTTTTTAACTTTTGCTTTACACATAGTTTTCCTCTATAAAGATAACATCCAACGGAGCTCTACAAGACAATTGTTTTTATGTATAAACATCCTGTAAAGTGTGATAAACTTCTTGCTGCCCAGCCTATGACTGGGAATGTGCTTGCCTCTAATCTTAAGAGTCAGACTAGAAACTCATTGTTAAATTCTGAAGTCCATGTCTCCAGTCTCAGCTTTACCACCATTAATATGATGACTGACTTTCCATGCTCATAACCAATGTGTTTTATCCAGAAGTTGCTTTAGAATCCTAGTGGATAAAGTAAGATATAATGTGTTGCTTCCCAATTTTCTAATTCTTGGCACTTAAACCAATGTTATAAGTATTTGCTTAGCACCTCTTAGATAGATGACCCAGAGTTTTTGACATTTTTAATTGTGTCCTATTATATATATATATATATATATATATATACACACACACACAGTAAGAGTTCAACACATGTATTGGATTGAATTAAAGGGTAATTTAAGGTAGCCAAGCAACATGTTTATAACAAACTCAGAGTTATATCATTATAATATTATAATCATATCATAATCATCTTATGGAAGGTCTTCTCCTGTGCTGTTCCTTCATCATTCCAAGCATGATGTCCCTCTCCAAGGACTAGTCCCTCCTTGCAACATGTCCAGATGAAGCTTCAGAAACCTTGCCTCCAAGGAGCAGCCTGGTTTCACCCTCTCCAGGACGAAACTGTTTGTTCTTTTAGCAGTCCATGGTATATTTAATACTCTTCTCCATCACCACAGCTCAAAGGCATCAATTCTTCTTCTATCATCCCTAGTCATTGTCCAGCTCTCTGACTCACAGCAAAGGATTGCAAAGACCATGGCATGTATCAGGCACATCTTAGTCTCCAGACTGACATTGTTGCTCTTCAGTACTTTGGAGAGGTCTCTGACAACAGACTTTCCCAATGCAATTTGTCTTTTAATTCCCTGCCTGCTAGTGCCAAGAGTGTTGACTGTGGCACCAAGCAAACTAAAGCTGTTAATAATCTCAATCTCTTCACCATCTATCATGATGCTGCCAACCAGTCTAGTGATAGGAATCTTTGTTTTCTGGATATTGAGCTTCAATCCATAATGAAGGCTGCAGTCTGTGACCTTCTGCAGCAAGTACTTCAGGTCATACTTAGTTTCAGCAAGCAGAGTTGTGGTATCTGCATAACGCACTTTGTTGATTAATCTTCTTCCAATTCTGATGCCACATTTCTCCTCATAGAGACCAGTATCCCAGATAATCTAGTCTGCATATAGATTAAAAAATATGGAGATAGGACACATCTCTGGCATATACCTTTCCCAATTTTCAACCATATAATGTTTCCTTGCTTTGTTCTGACAACTGCCTCCTGGTCCAAAATATAGGTTTCACATAAGCACAATCAAGTGTTCTGGGATTCCCATTCTTCTCAGAGTCACCCACAGTTTGTTGTGGTCCACATAGTCAAATATCTTTGCATAGTCAATGAAACAAAGATAGATCTTCTTCTGGTACTACCTGCTTTCAGCCAAGATCCATTTAACATTAGCTACAATATCCCTAGTAACACAGACTCTTCTAAACCCAGTCTGCACTTCTGAAAATTTTCCAATAATTTATACTTAGAATTTTTTAATTTCTGGCTGAATGGTTACTACCTCAGGTTATAAAGCCTTCCAGGTGATCCTCAAGATAAAATCTTTTTTTCTTGGAATTATATAAAATGTAACTCACTTACTCACTCACTCACTCACTGCAAGTAATTGAGAACCAACTCATAACTGACACTCCAGTAGGTTTTCAGAGACTGTAGATCACACAGGAGGTTGCTGTTGTTAGTCATTGCCTGTGTTTCTCCTGAAGAGCTAATGATGGATTCAAAGCGGCAGAGAAGAGCCAACTTTGGGTTAGCAATGTATTTCCCCATTGACTATACCACCAGAATTGTAGCTCTCCTTTATCACATCTGAAACAAAATATCTTACATTATATTTATGTTACGTTTTCAGTCATCCTGTGTATTACCTGAGTATAAAACATTAAACAAGAGACTATCTTTTATTATCTGCTTTCAGAAGGTATTATGAATTCACAGCAACCCCGTGAAACTGTGTTGAATTGCTCATAGGCTTCCCAAGATTGTAAATCTTTACGGAAGGAAATTACTTGAACATTCTCATATGGGACAACTAGTATGTTCAAATTTCCTACTTTCTGGTAGCAGTTGAATGTTCTGACCACTTCTCTTTTTCTCTCTGTGTGTACACCTACACATATGTTTGCATGTGTGTACTTGTACTTCCCCAATATTTATTTAGTGGCATAGAAAACATGGACTGTGCATATGGTGTGGGTAAGAAAATCCTGATTCTAAAATTTGAGACTGTTAAGATTAAATTACAATTTATAGTGTTATTTTAAAAGTTAGATTGTACAATTATCTTTCTCAAGAAAAAATAATATTTGCCAAGTTAATGACTAAGCATTAGATTTGTTGTTTGAAGCATTTACATTTTGCAATTTTTCAGTTCTAGAATAAATTCAGTTGATATTGCAAGAATAAATACTCAATAAAATCTTCCAGTTGATTACACAGTTTTAATGGAGCAATTGCTCTTCATGCTACTACCTCACTATTCCCTCCATTTTCCTGGCCTAAATTCCAGCCCATCTTTGATATCCACACAGAACTTGCTTGCCTCTTTGAGAACAGGTTGCCTACAAAATTCTGTCCTGACCTTGCAGCCATTGCCCCAACTATGCAGGGAAGTAATTTATTGATCTGTAAAGAACTCAGAGTTGCTCTGCAAGGGATTATGTCACAAGACGCCTTGCAATAAAATATAAAGTGATGGACTAATTTTGAACATAGGGTGATTTAGGGTTTGTAGTTGGAAGTGTGCTTAAAGTACATTTTAAGTAGAAATCAGGGTGAGTAATGAATTACTTTTGCTTTGGAAGGGCTTATTGGGAGTTCATTTTCTTGGCTTCTTACTTGATAGCTAATCTGTTCATCATAAACTAGAGAACAATGGACAGTCCTGGAGTAGAATGGAAGGTTGTTTGGGCCAGAGTTGTCAGCAGAGTAAGTGCATTAAATGAGACAATCACACATCATGGTTGGAAGAATCATCTAGAATTTTCTCCTCTCCCTGAGCACCACAAATGGAAAAGGTTCAATTTATGAAGTAGAAGTTGGGAAAATGCCTACTGTCTTTTCAATCCTGCTTTGACCACAAGTCAAAGTTGGCAGACTGCCTCTGCATAGAATTGAAAGGAAAACAATTTAAGGCATAGTGTTAACAATGTTTGATCAGAAATGGAAACTCAATTACCAGAACTAAACTGACATAATTTACAAGATGGTAATGGATTAAAGATCAATTTGCTAAGTAGAAACTTCTAGCACATTATATTGGTATCCAAAATTAAACTGAATTGGTCTTAGTTAATATAGAATTTATAAAGATAATGGCTACCTATGAGAAAAGGCTACTTTACTTTTATAATGTATCCTGGATATATTCTGTTTTATCCCTTCTGATTATGTAAGCTGGTAGGAACATAAGATTGAGCTTGCTTGTTTTTATAAAATCACTCTCTCACTCATCTATTCAATCATACATTCACTGATAAATTTCTATATGCTAAGTATTATGAAACGCTAGAAAAAAAGAAAAAGACATAATGCTTGTCCTAATGAGTACACTGGATAGAGATATAAATAAAGATTAAAAATGTTTTTATAATAAGGTGAGATAAAAACAGAACATAGGTGTTAAGGCAGATAGGTCTCTAGAATGATGTCAAGGATATTTGACATCTAAGCTAAGTCTTAGGAAATAAGAAAACTTTAACCAGGTCTCGGGGGCAGGGGTAAGACATTCTAGGTAGAGAATACAAGATAAGGAATACATTTTTGTAAAAGAGTCTATGCTATGAAGTACACATGTATTTTGGATGGATAGCTGCAAAAAGAAACTGGGCCAGATCTTGCCCTTCAAATCTTCTGTCTACAACACACGGGGCACTTGGGATTTCTTAAGCACAAGGGAAAGAGGAGTGGAATAACAATACAAGTCCTTCACAGAACATTGCCGATCACTAGGACCTTATATAGTTAAAAAAGCCTGAT